TAAAAAAAATCTTTATTAGTGATCATCACTATGTAACCTGCACTATATTTGTAATTAGACTGATATGGGACACCCTATTGAGGGCCCATGCCCCTGTGCCCTGAACCCTAGTCCGGAGGCCGGGTTGTACGCCCAATTATATAATACAACAAAATGTGAAAGAAAAAACTTCTATGATTTTAATTGCATACCTAAAATGTCATCTATGTTGCAGGAATTTCGAGCAAAACGTGAAGCACAAAGGGTTCGAGTTGAAGACAAATATGAAATTTTAGGTTTTATCAGCTCAGGAACATATGGAAGAGTATATAAAGCACAAGCAAAACAAAAAAACAAGGGGTTTGTATCGGAAATTTTATTTAAGTTACTTGTGAATATATAAATTATTTAAAAAATTATTATCAATGTCTACAGTTCAAATGATGAAAAGCCTCTCATGTATGCAATAAAAAAATTTAAACCTGATAAAGAAGGCGATGTTACTACCTACACGGGGATATCACAGTCTGCATGTCGAGAGATATCGGTATTTATTAGAATTCTAGAATTGTGCTTGTCTTTACTAAAAGATCCATTATTCATTTTACACATTAACAAAGTTGTGTCGGGAACTCAGTCATGTAAATATAATCGCTCTTCAAGAAGTACTTTTAGAAGATAATTCAATCCACATGGTGTTCGAATTTGCAGAGCATGATTTTCTGGTAAGATATCTATGATTACTACTATATAATGTTTTTTCAACTAGGCATTTGTTGTTTACTCAAGTGGTTTTACAGCAAATAATCCATCATCATAGTCAACATAGCCAACACGACAGATCATCTGCTATTCCCGAATTCACTATCAAATCATTTTTATGGCAGCTGCTTAATGGAGTAGCATATCTTCATGCTAATTGGGTTTTACACAGGGATTTAAAGCCGGCAAATATTTTAGTTACGGCTGATGGTGTAGTGAAAATTGGTAAAGTGCATACACATTATTTAAAAACACTTAACATTCTCACTAATATATCCGTATTGTATAGGTGACTTAGGGCTGGCAAGAATTTATCAACTCCCCTTACAGCCTTTGTTCAATGGTGATAAGGTAGTTGTGACAATATGGTATCGAGCTCCTGAACTTTTACTTGGGTCCAGACATTATACAAAAGCAATAGGTTAGCCACTTCAAAATTATTTCTATGTATTTATGATGTTCTTGCTCATTGAGTTTTATAATTTTAATCAGATATTTGGGCTGTTGGATGTATTTTTGCTGAGTTATTGACTTTAAGACCGATCTTTAAAGGAGAAGAAGCAAAAATGGATAATAAAAAGAGCGTTCCATTTCAAAAAAACCAATTGACAAAGATTTTTGAAATATTGGGGAAACCAACAAGTAATCCCAATTTCAATATAGAATGATTGATGTTTTATTTGTTGATTCCCTCCAATAATTTGGAACCTTGCTTGGAATTTAGAGGAGCAATGGTTTGATATTGAAAAACAACCAGAATATTCTCAGCTAGCTTCTTTTCGAGCGTAGGTCTTATTATATCTTTTATATGTTAAGAAATTCGTATATTTGCTTTTTAACCTTTTTTTTGTTTATCAGATATCCAAATAGACTACGAGAGTTTTACCAAAATCATTGTTCATCGAAGTCTGAACAAGGGTATAAATTATTGTCTCTCATGTTAGAATACGACCCTATAACGCGCATCACTGCTGAGGATGCTTTGAAGCATCCTTATTTTGAAGAAGATCCTATTCCATCCATGGAGTGAGTTCATTTTCATCATGTCATAAATTTTATTCACATTTTTTAGTTTATTTATACTGTTTTAATTTAATAGTTCTTTCGACGGACAACCATTTCAATACCCTTCAAGGAGCGTTAAACATGACGATAATGATATGAAGGCACCACCAGCAGCAGCTAATGCAAGTACTGCTACACAGGGCCAAGCAGGGGCATCACAAGGTGGAGTAGGCGCGGGACGAAAGCACGCTCATTCTGGAAAAGATGAAGGAAGAAATAATAAGAGGCGAGGCTAGATTAATATCCCATACTATCTATTGGTTATGTAACTAGTTAATACTTGTATTTTATTTTACCTAATTTGTTAACTATTGCATTTAGGACGTTTAGAAAAAAATCAAGCACAAGTAAACCAAGATTTTCATAAAATAGAGATAAATTATATAATAAAGAAAGTAGTATAGAAATATTGAAATTTTTATTAAAAGTTTATCTCTGTGAGAACATCATTCTTCGTAGATGTTTTATAACAAAAATATGCGCAAATTTCAGATTTAAAAATAGCACTATTATTTCTATTTTATATACAGTCGATTTTGGGTTGTTTAGTATAGAAATACCGTATTCCTCCGAAAATAAGCACTCCCCGAAAATAGACACCCCTGGCCCACACTATGCCAACTTTGGCCCGCTTTACAACAATCACGGCCAGCATTACGTGCAAAAAAAAGGATGCTTATTTGGAGGAATATGGTCAATGTTTATCAAATTGGTTTATTTTCAAAAATCAAGTAATTTGATTGGATCCGCACACGTGCATATAATCACTGAATACGGTATAGTAAATTACTCTACTAGGAACTTTCGTTACATAAGGTGAAGTAGGGTATTCTGACGCACCTAAGAGTGCTAATAGTAAAAGTTTTCAGAAAAAAAATATTATTCACAA